AAATTTGTCAATTTATGATACAAATATGTTACTATACAATTTTAATAAAACTATTATTTTTATTAATTTATTAAATGAATTAGAATTATAATTCAATTGTATAAAGGGTAAAATTATCCATCAAATGGTATTTTTATTCCTTTAAATTAAGTGCTTTTTAAATAATTTTTTTGTAATAAATATAAGTTCAAGATTCTTAATATAATAAAGTAATTTACTAAACTCAATGTGTATTAGTTTCAGAATTAATTTTATTATTTAATTTAATATAATTATTTAGATAAGTTTTTTTGTGAAGATAAAAAAATTGAAAGTTCTCATTATGATACATGACATTGATGCTTCAATTTATCAAATAAATTATTTCCTCTTTTTGTTTTGTTAGAATTTAAAGTTCATTCTTTAAATAAATAAGATCTCATCTCTCGTAAGAATTTAAGTTTAAAACTTTTATTTTATTTGGTTGGATAGAATGATCATTCCATTCATGTTCTATTTTAGATTCATTATAAATGCAGCTCTTCTTAATAGTTTGGTTATTACAAATTTTGTTATACAACATATTTAAACTAATTAAAATAATATTAACTTTGATATATTAATTTAAATTTTATTAATGTTATAATTGATTAATATAAATGATAATAACAACTAATTATATATAATAAAAATGCATTTTTAAAAAATATTTTTTATATTAAAATGACTAAATTTTAAATTTCATACCAGATTAGAAACTAAATTTCAAATTTCGTATGAGTATAAAAACTATTTGTATTATTTAACAACTGATTTCATCTAAGTTACTACGTCAATAGGACAATGCTATCTAAGTAAAGCTAACGCCCACGTCATCAAGTCAATGACAATGTTAGCATTTTTAAAGACAAAAAATTGATAGAGTTAATAATTTGACTAAGATTATAAAATCAAAATGGTATTTTGACTAAATTTATTTGAATTACAATACGTAGACTAAATTTTAAAATTTCGCAATGCATAGAGATCTTTGACATAATTTAACTTAAATAAAACTAACAATCGGCTAATTCATGGTTGAAAAACAGCCATCTTATGTATCTTATATAAATATATAAAAGCCAAAACTTCTAACAAAAAAAAAATCTGATATGGATAGTCTACATTTTTAATATGTGGATAATCTAAATAATTTACATTTGTTAAAAATTAATTATGCAATTCAAATTTAAAATTTAGAATTTAATGGTAAAATATATTTAATTTAAAATATCTTATTTCCATTATTATAAAACACATTCAATGATTCTTATTCATATTTATTTTTAAATGATTAATTGACTAAAATAAATTAAGAACCAAATCAAGAGTAATAGTGTCTTAAATTGAGAGTAATTTATGCTTGATAATTAGAAAAGTCAAGTATAATGTGTATTCAATACATTTGAGAGAAACGAAAAAAGAGATTTTGAAATTAATGTAATAATGATAATAAAATTAAATTTTTATTAGATGATAGTTTTTATACATTCCATAAATTACTCTAATTACTTCCATTTTTAGTTTTTAATAATCTTATCTTATATCTTATCTCTTCTTATATCAATATATAAAAGCTAAAGCCTTTGACTAAAAAGAAATTGTTCAACATGAATAGAGTATATAATTGACATGTGGATAATTTTAAAAAATTTGTTATGTATCTTTTAATAACTTAATTACATTTATGTTTTATTATTTACTTTAAATCATTCTTAATTAAATTTACATTAAATGTAATAAAATTTTAATTGCCATCGCCATAGAATAATTTTGTCACCTCTTTTTTCAATTGTAAATATTCAACTCTTAAATTACATTTGTATAAAAAAAATTCAATTGCCAATTTTGTAACTTATGACTTATTTATTTACTACACCATTTAAGCTATGTTATATATATATATATATATATATGTGTGTGTGTCTGTGTGTGTACGCGCTTAGTAAGTATATATATTATTTTAAAATAATTAATAGATGATTAAATCAATTAAAATTAATTTTGGTATATATAATATCAAATGAATTTCATTATCATTATTACACTAATTTCAAAAATTTTCCTTTTCCATTTCTCCCAAACAAGTTAATACACGTTATGTTTAATTATTACAATTGTCAAGTATAAATTACTTTCAATTTAAAATACTATTATTGATCCTGATTTGGTTCTTAAATTCATTTTAATCAATTAGTCATTCAAAAATTACAAATCATTCCATAATTATTTCTAAGACAATAAGACTCATCCTATAAATAAAGGTGTTTTGGGATACTTAAGAAATATATTGTATCATTTCAATATTTTTTTCTCATTGTCTTAATATTTCTTTTGCCATGTAGTAAAAATAGTTTAGGTTCCTTTTTTTTTTTCTTTGTGATATTATATATGTAGGTGGATTAGCTGCACAAAATTTAATATAATCAATTACTTCTTAAAGATTTTTATTAATTTATGTTTGGTTTTGTATTATTTTACTTACTATTCTATTTTTTTTTCTTGAGTGAAACTATTCCAAATTATGTTTCATTATAATCATATAATAAGTTATTTTTTGAAAAAAAAATCATTTTGAAAATGCTTTCCCTTAAAAATAATCTGTTTAGGTTCCAAGAAAAATTAAGTAAAATTTTTTGAAAATTTAATGATTTGAATTTTTTTTTTTTATGTTTTGACTATTGTTGTTAGTTTTATTGCAGTTTTAAATTATATATATTTGTACATATTATTTTATACCTTTTTTGCAAGTTTTTATTATGATATTGACTTGTATACCAAATACCTATTATTATTCTCTTTTTGGATCATGAAACAAGAAAGCAAGCTAGGTGTAGATTAAAATAAAGTGATTGTCTATCATCTATCCTATCATATATATTAAGTATGTATTTTTTAGTTTTTGTATGAAATGATTTTATTTAAGATATGATTTTTTTTTTTGTTTTAGTCATTAGATATGTTTGTTGCTTTGATATTATCATTTTCATGATTAGCATAAAGTGGAGCTAATTACTGTTCAAGCGTAAATGAAAATTGTTAAAAATAGCTTTTGATTGATTCTATTTTCTAGTTACCATAAAGTGAAGTTAATTATGTTCAACCGTAAATAAAAAATTTTATTGATTATATTTTCATTACCTTTATAATTTTAGGAATTAAACATTTATTAAATAAACATTATTACTAATTGAAATATTTTTTGTGTAATTACTTTGAACTTTAATGTTATTGTTAGTCAACCATTAACATTTAATATTTACATTTTATTTTATTTCAAAAATAAAAAAAGAAAAAAATCTACATTTTGCTTTTATCTTGATAAATAAAATTCTTAGGTTGCCTTACATTATCAATGTAAAAGGATGACCACTAGAAAAAACCTACTTTACAAAATCAACAAGAAATGCAATTTATATTTTATGTTGTGAAATTTTAATTTCACACAATAGCATATTTTACATTTTCACCGTTTTATCTTTCTTATTTTTTTCACATAAGCGTATTTTATCACTTGCTTTCGACTTTGAGGGATTCGTCAACAAGAAAATTGCTATGGCGGTCGATTGTAAGAAGGCTTCCCTGCTGCAATTGACCAATAACTTCTAGCATCAGACTTTTCCTTATGATAGTAATCGACATCAAAAGCGTTTTTTGTTTGATTATGTTGGGGATATATATAAAAATAATTTAATGTTGTATGTATGATGACTTAAACTCTATTTTTTGTATTCTTAATTGTGTTTATATAATTTTATTATTATCCTATTAAATCTTAGTTGTATCAAATTTAAATATTAATTATATTTATACACTTAGAGCATGAAAAGATCACATATAATTTTTAAAATCATAATTTAAAGAAGAATTTTATATAATAATAAATTAAATAATTTAGTAATATTTCAAAATTAAAGACAAATTATAAATTACAAATAATATATTGCAATTATATAATTTTATTAAAATATATTTAATGTTCAACATTAATAAATTATAAAATTTTAAAAAAATTCGTGCCAACTTGCCAACTATGTTTTATATTTTTAGTTTTTAATATCATACAACAGCATTAGTTTACTAAACATATTTTCTGTTTTCAAAATTTCAAAATAAAATAAAAACAAAATTTTCAAAAATATAAAACATAAACAAAAAAAAATTGACAACGATACCAAATGATCCCTTAATTATTTTGAAACATGTATTTTTTTATGATGATTATTTTATGTTGAATGCAATTATTTTTTATGCATTTTCTTTTAACCAACTTTTAATTTTAAAATTTTAATAAAATTTTAACTAATAAAAAAAATAATATTAGATTGTTAATTTTTAATTCTTAACTCAAACTGTACGGTTGTAAGGCATGAAGTTTTGCATTTATAAAATATGTGGGTCTTTTTTTTTTTTTTTTTGTTGAATGAAATAAGGACATAAATTTTGGAGAATAGAAAGGTTTATGAGATTTACATTTTTTCGTAGAACAATTTAGTGATAAATTTTCATTTAAATTTTTTTATAATTATTTTTATTAATAGATTTTTTTTTCATTATATAGAATTTTTTTAAAGTTGAATTTCATATTAATTTTATAGTGTGATTGAATTGTTATTACGTTTTAATAGTTCAACTATTTATTTTTTTATTTTTAAATTAGTTGTTTTATAACATTGATAATTAGTAAACTTTCATTAGAATTATTATTATTTTTTTTGTTATCAAAAATTTAAAGTTATTGTTCAACATAAATATAATGTAATTTTTTTCAAATTCTTTTTATATTGGTACTTTTATTTTATTTTAAAAAATTATTATAAATTAAAATTAAAATTTTATCGCCCAAATCTAATATGTCTTAATTTTATTGCCCAATAAACTGCCATGTCATCCGATGCTCTCTCATCTTTGACTTGCCACGTGTTTTTTAATCATTGGTGACTATTTCGATTGTAAACAGTATACCATGAAACTCGCATTCAACGCCGGAAACATGAAATATTTTTTTCTAAAGCAACGTATTTATAGTTCTTTTCCCTTTCCAGCAGTTGGCCCCCAAAGAAGGAACGCCGAGTCCAAAAGTTTGTGAGTGCAGGAAGGAAATGCCAGAAATGCTATCTTAATTCATAGGAAAAGCCAACGGCAACAACAGCTGTCATAATGGCCACTGTTCCTTCTCTTCTCAACGCTTCTTTCCTCACCCCAAAACCCCTCACTCAACATAAAACCCTCCCTTGTACAAAACCCACTTCCCTTTTCTTCTTCCCTTCCGCTTTTGCTTCTTTCTCCACCCTTCAGCGACATCGTTTTAATGGACAGACGCCTATAGCTGCATCTCTTAAGGTGACTTTTGGTGTAATTTTTCACTATTCACAATCGCTGACCAGCTGTTTGATTTTATGTTTGTGTGGAGTTGCTACTGATCATTTTTTATGCTTTTTGTTTGTTTTGTTTCAGGAGAACGTGGGCCGTTTTAAGAAGACTTTGGGTGATTTTACTAGCTTAAACTACTGGGTCGTTCGGGATTATTATCGTCTTGTCGACTCTGTTAATGCACTCGAGCCAGAGATACTGAGGCTATCTGATGAGCAGGTTGGTTGGCTTGTTTACAATCAATTACTTGTGTTGCCTTTGTTTGGGTCATTGGGATACTTGATTGAGCTTCTTTCTTGTAGCTGACTGCTAAAACTTCTGAGTTCAAGAAAAGGTTAAGCCAAGGACATACTCTTTCGGATATTCAAGCTGGTTAGTGTTTATTAATGCTTCTGTTCAGAGGGTTGAATTTATGAAATTTATATGGAAATTAATTCTCCTTTTATTGTTGGTTTTACAGAGGCATTTTCTGTTGTTCGTGAAGCTGCAAGAAGGAAGCTTGGCATGCGCCATTTTGATGTGCAGGTATTAATCTTTTTATGCATGCAACAATGTATGCCTGTAGGCTTGCATGGATACTGTGTGGTCATGTATCCATGATTACATCACTGTATACAAGTATTTTTTATTCACTTGAAATCAGGTATTATTCTAAAGGTTTTTTAATGGTAGATTATTGGTGGAGCAGTACTTCATGATGGTTCAATTGCTGAGATGAAAACAGGGGAGGGAAAAACATTGGTTTCCACATTAGCTGCATATCTTAATGCACTGACTGGTGATGGTGTCCATGGTACGCTTTGTATCCTTCCTTTTGTTTGGAAAAAATATTTTAATGATATTATTCATTATAGTTTCTGTTGATATTGTAAAAAGTTGAATATTAGATACTTGTTCGCACATTTGTGTATGAATATCAGATATTAGTTTTGAGATATAAGGATCTTATAAAATGTTTAGCAGAAGGAACAGCATTGTTGATCTTGTTTAACCTCTAACTAGATTCTCAGCAGTCCTTTGAATTCCCATTTATTGCAGAGATAATCTGGTTACATCATATTACTCTTTTGTAGGCTCTTGTTGACCAAATGGTAATGCTCCATTTTACTTGAATTTGACATTGTTGCCTTTGCAATTAACAGTGGTAACTGTGAATGATTATCTTGCTCAACGTGATGCTGAGTGGATGGGTCGTGTTCATCGCTTTTTAGGTCTTTCAGTTGGGCTTATTCAGGTGTTTGTCTACTGAGAGGCAGAATGCTCTAGAACTTGTTTCAAATAGTATTTTTCTTGCAGACATGAACTTGGGTCAATGACCAGACATGTTTTATTTATGCAAGAGAAATGGATCTCAATAACCATTGCATACTTATATACTCCAAATTGTAATAGTCTTCCCCAATTTTTGATTACAAATGTAGAAGGGGATGACAGCTGAAGAGAGGAGAACTAACTACCAATGTGATATAACATACACCAACAACTCGGTAAGTGTTCCTAATTTAGGTTGGTGCAATTGAATGTTGACTACTGCTGTTGCATTTTCTCCCCCTCTCCCCTTCTCTTTTCCCTTAACCCCGCAATTTGCCTTGTTTCTCACACCATTATTTATGAACATTTTTAGGAACTAGGCTTTGATTATCTCCGAGATAATCTTGCTGGAAACAGTGATCAACTTGTGATGAGATGGTATGTGTCAGAGCACTATTTCAATTGGGTCTTTGATTTATGTTATTGGACTACTAGCGATAGACTTGCAAAAACAGGCCAAAACCATTTCATTTTGCAATTGTTGATGAAGTTGATTCTGTTCTCATTGATGAAGGAAGAAATCCTTTGTTAATAAGTGGTGAGGTAATATAAATTAACCTTTCTTCCTTTGTTAACTGTTTTTTAGGTTCTATGCATAATATTGAATATTTAGAATCACAAAATTATTCAGGAGCTATTTATGAATGTTTAACTGATTGCCTGCGAAAATGTTCAGAAATGTTGAGAGGAAATCTCAATGCAATAGAAATTGTGAAAAAATTAAAAAATAAAATTGTGTGGAAAACTAAGAGTAAAACTGAACATATATTGAAAAATTGCTCATTAGAATTATACAAGCACTTTAGGTTTATATACAACTAACTAGTGGGTAAACTAGGAAACTAAATCTTTCTAAAATTGATCCTATAATGGAGAGATTGTCTATCCTAATTTTCTGTTCTTAATTTCTAGGGATACAAATCCTTAATTCTAGGGATTCTAGCGATATAAATACTTAATTCTATAGATACAAATATAAATATACAAATTACAAGATTACAACCAGCTATAAATAAGTGTTTTCCCACACTCTCCCTCAAGCTGGTGAATATGTGTTTTCCATTCCCAACTTGGAAATAATTTCCTAAAATGTTGCACTGCTTAGACCTTTAGCCAACACATCTGCAAGTTGACCCTTGGTTGATAATACGGTGTACAAATCCACCCATTGTCTAGTTTCTCCATTATGAAGTGCTGGTTTACTTCAATGTGTTTTGTTATGTCATGTTGCACAGGATTGTGTGCCATGCTTATTGCAGATTTGTTATCACAGTAAAGTCTCATTGGCCCATCCCACTTAATCTTCAAGTCTTCTAGGATAATCTTTAACCATGGTAGTTCACAAATTCCTTGAGCCATTGATTTGAACTCTGCTTCAGCACTTGATCTTGCCACCACATTTTTGTTTTTTACTCTTCCAAGTCACAAGATTACCACCTAAGAAAGTGCAGTAGTTTGAGGAGGATCTTCAATCAATTGCTGAACTTGCATAATCTATATCTGTATGTGCCTCTAGAACCAGCCCCAAATTTCTTTTGTACAAAATACCTCTCCCAAGTTTGGCTTTCAAAATAGTGTAATACATAGTAGATAGCCTGTGGGTGCACTTTTTTAGGACTATGTATAAATTGACTTATCACACTCACAGCATATGCTATATCAGGATTAATATGTGAGAGATAAATGAGTCTTTCAACTAATCTCTGGTACATCTCTCTATCTATGGCATCATCTTCATTAGCATCGCTAAGTTTATGATTAGGATCTATAGGAGTATTTGCAGGTTTACATGCGAGCTTCCTAGTTTCCTTCAAAAGATCCATCACATATTTCTGTTGTGAGATGAAAATACCATGTCATGAGTAAGCTACTTCAATTCTTAGGAAGTATTTCAATCTCCCTAGATCTTTTATCTCAAATTCTCTAGCCAAACGCTGTTTTAGAGATTCTCTCTCTTTTTCATCGTCTCCAGTTGCAATTGTATCATTAACATACACTAATAGAACTGTGATTCTCCCTAACGCTATGTTTGGATAAATATTAATAAAGGAAAGGAAAAGAAAGTTTTTTAAAGGAAATGAAAGGATACATGTAACCCTTGTTTGGATAATTAAAATTAATAAAGAAAAGGAAAGGAAAGGAATTCTAACAACCATTGTTTGGATAAAGAGTGAAAAAGAAAGGAAATGATTCATTATAATAATTTTTTTCAATTATAACCTTTCATTACCTGTGATTTTAGAGCACTCTTGGATCATGATATGTCTATTCATATTCAACCATTCATCAAAATCAAATCACTAAAAAATTATAAAAAATTTTTATATTGGAAGAGATACGTAAAACTTGAAAAAAAAGATGGCTTTGAAAAAATTACAAGATGATTATGATCTGCTTAAGTTTTTTTGATTAGGTTTTTAGTATTAATAAAAAGATGGATATAATAGTCTTTTTTATAAATTTTTTTTTTTAACTTTCCTTTCCCTAGCTTTTCCTCCAAATTGAGGTATTAAAAATTTTAGGTTTACAAGGGAACCAAAAGTTATTTGGTTTCCACCTCTTTCCCTTTCTTTAAATTAAAAATTTATCCAAACAAGGGGAGGGGGCTTTGTTTCCTTTACTTTCCCTTACTTTACTTTCTTTTCCTTCCCCTCATCTCAATCCAAAAACACTATAAACCTCCCAAACCAAGCCTTAGGAGACTGTTTAAGGATCAAGTTCTTGGACTTGCATCGGTTCAGGAGCTAGAACTTTTCTTCTTGAGTACACCTGTAATTCCTTTATAGAATCAAGAAAAATATTATCTTTTGTCACATTTTTTGTGTTTGGAATGGATTCAGACTCAAATTTAGTGTTTGACTTGGACTCAGAAGAAACAGGTTTAGACTCTGAAGAATTAATTGTTGAAAATGTTGAAGAGGAGGACAAGTCAAGCAAAAAGAAGTCTTTATCCTTATCTTCCATGAATGAAGTCTCCCCCTAAAGATAAGGTTGAAAATGGTTTGCTTTCTTCAAAAGTGACATCTACAGACATAGAATTTTTTAGTAGGAGGATAATAAAACTTATACCCTTCTGAGTTGATGAATACCCCACAAAAATGCATTTAATTGCTCTAGGATCCAACTTTCCCCTATCATGACTGTGAACATGAACAAATGATGTATAACCTAATATCCTAGGTGTGAGGTTGTTTGTGGTATTAAAGTTGGGATAGAATTGTGAGAGTAGTTCTATAGGAGTTTTAAATCCCAAAACCCTGGAAGATAAGCTATTTATAATGTGTGTGGCAATGAGAACACCTTCCCCTAGTAGGATTTGGGTACGTTTGCTTGAAAAAGTAAAGCTCGGGTTGTGGCTAGTAAATGGCTGTTTTTCCTCTCTGCCACTCCATTCTGCTGTGGAGTATTAACACAAGATGACTCATGGGTAATCCCCTTCTTTTGGAAATAGGTAGATAGACTTTGGTTGAAATAGTCTCTTTCATTATCAGACCTAAATCTCTTAATTTTCACTCCAAGTTGATTTTGGATCATGTTTTGGAAGCTTAAAAAACACACTATTCAGATCTGATTTGGATTTAAGTTAAAATATCCAAGAGACCCTGGAACAATCATCTATGAAAGAAACAAATCACCTTGCACTAAAAATATTAGAAATTGTAGAGGGACCCCATATGTTACTATAAATCAAGTAAAAAGGACTAGAACTTCTTTTATTACTAATTGGAAAAGACACATGTTTATGCTTTGCAAGTTCACAAACATCACAATGAAAATTTTCGACATTTAATCTTTTGAACAAAGAAAGAAACATGTTTTTCAAAGTTCCAAAAAAAGGATGTCCAAGACGAAAATGATAAAGCCGGATTTTGTCTTTATTGGGAGATTTTTCAGAAAGAAATGACGAAGGTAAACCATTTTTGATATTACTTGTATTGTTTGATGTCTCAAGATAGTATAGTTCATCCTTTTCCTTAGCGAGTCCAATCCTTTTCTCCGAACTTTGGTCCTTAAATTTACAATAGGAGGGATAAAAAGTCATTTGCAGTTCATGTTTTTTGTAAGTTTTTGTATAGATATCAAATTAGTAGACAATCCAGGAACATGAAGAACATTTTTAAGAACAAACGAGGGATTGATTTGAACATCTCCTAATCCTGCCACTGTAGTAAGTGAACCATTCGCAACAACAATTTTCTTATTATTAGGGCATAAGTTATATGTACTAAATTTCTATGAGGAATGTGTCATATGGTTTGTGGCTCCTGAGTCAATGACCCAAGAACTCGTAATAGGCTTAATTGAGACATTTAATCCATGAGAATTAGAAGCTTTACTTGAACTAGAGACCTTACCCAAAGAATATACCCCAGTAGGCTTTTCAAAGGTTTTCAATAGGCTTCTTAGTTTCTCAATCTCTTCTCTATCCAACTCTCTTTGTTCTCGAGGCTTTTGTAGTACTTCGGTGGTTTTATTAGTTCTCACTTCCTCAAATCAGGTATTAGTGGCAGATTTTGCTATCTCTGACATGGTTATCTTTCTCAAGATTGAAATGAATCTTGATCGTAAAGGTTTAACCAGAGACGATTCTAGGCAATGAAGGCCAATAAAGAAAAAATAAGACTAAAAGATTTAACAAGATTTGGCTATTAAGACTAAAATATATATATACAGATTACAAGATTACAACCAGCTATAAATAAATGTTTTCCCACAGAAATAGCTTGTAATAGTCTGTTGCCTCTTCTTTGTTGTGTCCAGGCTAGCAAAGATGCTGCACGTTATCCTGTTGCTGCTAAGGTGGCTGAGCTGCTAATGAGGGGTCTGGTGAGTTCAGTCGTTTGTCTTCACTTTGGTTAAACCATAATCTTTTGTTGCTAATCAGCTGCCACTGTAATCATGTACAGTTATCTTACACAGTTTATAATTAAGTAGTTTCTGTATGATAAATTTTGGTAACAGCATTACAACACTGAGCTTAAAGATAATTCAGTGGAGTTGACTGAAGAAGGAATTGCACTTGCTGAGTTGGCTCTTGAAACAAATGATCTGTGGGATGAAAATGATCCCTGGGCAAGGTGAATGGTTTCCCTTTTCCCTTTGTTCTCATTCTCTAATTTCCATTGTAAAGCTGATGGATGCTATTGAGGACATAAGTACTATGCCCTTTGTACTCTTTGTTCTAAATATATGTTTCTCTGTCAGCAACTTCTCAAAGTTTTTGTGTTTCAAGTCTTCACTAACACATGGTGCTTTTAAAACGTAAAAGGCCCCAAAAGAAAATGTTTGACCAATTTCAAACTGATTTCTTTCTTTCATTCATTGTATATTAGAACTTTCTGGACTGAATTGTAACCAACTACCTGGATACTGTTGTCTTGTGGTTGAATATGATCCATTGCAAACACGATACACATCTCATCTTATGTTTTTTTCCTTTATCTTTTAGCTTGATATTTAAAATTTATATTGTTGCAGATTTGTGATGAATGCTTTGAAAGCTAAAGAATTTTATCGGCAGGATGTCCAATACATTGTCAGAAATGGGAAAGCTCTCATTATCAATGAGGTGATTATATAGTAATTTTTTATGTTTCAGTGTCTTTGTTGCAGTGCCAATTCCTACTTTTATTTCATTCATGTAATATTCAACCATGTTTGGATGTAATCACTGGAAAGGACTTTCCTGCAAATTTTCTAACTAGCCTGTGCTAGCACAAGCTTGCGCTAAAGAAAAATCATTTTACGTTTGTCAGCCCGAACATGATGATCATTGCACTAGATAATGGCTGTTAAGAGTTTGAATTGTGGGGTGCCATTACCAGTCGATGGCACGAGATTTCTATTTTTAAAAATTAAGCTCTTTATTAATAGCTTTTAGTTGAATTACTTAGCTTTAATACAGATGGTTACCAAAATCTTAAATTGCAAATCCCAATGTCTGTATCTATTGCAAACATTACTAGGTGCAAAATTGATGATTTCTTTTATGTTGTAAAGACAGCTTGATTTCATTAAACCTTGTTTGAGGTAGAACATTATCTTGTTGCTTTTTACATTTAAGGCTAAAGCTTGGGAAAACATAAGAATTTTGTTGTTCTTGGTGTTTTTTTAGTTTGTGTTAATGGTAGAGAATTAGGGGAAAAGTGGAGAGTTCATGAATGTGGTAGTCTCCTATGTATTTGTATTATATTAGAACATTAAGTACAAAAGACTAATATACCCATTAACCTAAATACTTAATCCTCCTTCTTAAGCTGGAGCATATACGTCATATGTACCCAGCTTGTTATAAATTTATCTTACTCTAGAACGAAGTTTTTGTAAACAAGTCTGCTAGTTGGTCCACAGATCTTGGTGATTGTGTAAGAACCACATTCTGCATACGTTTGTCTCAAACTAGATGACAATCCACTTCAATGTGTTTAGTTCTTTCATGATACGCTAGATTTGAGGCTATATAAAGAGCTGCTTATCAGAAATAGAGTCATATGCTCTTGTTGCTTAAAGCCAAGTTCTTCCAACAGATGTTTCAACCAAACGAACTCACAAGTAGTATTTGCCGTGGCTCAATACTCAGATTCAGCACTTGATCTTGCAACCACTGTATGTTTCTTACTCTTCCAAGACACTAGTTTGTCCACAAACACAATAACCAGGTAACCCAGTTGGTAGACACATAAGGTGTACAAATCAACCCACTGTCTAGTTTCTCCTTTATGAAATGCCGGTCTACTTCAATGTGTTTTGTTCTGTCATGTTGTATAGGATTGTGTGCAATGTTTATTGCAGACTTGTTATCACAGTAGAGTCTCATTGGTCCATCCCACTTGATCTTCAAGTCTTCTAAGATAATCTTTAACCATAGTAGTTCACAAATTCCTTGAGCCATTGCTCTGAACTCTGCTTCAGCACTTGATCTTGCCACCACATTCTGTTTTTTACTCCTCCAAGTCACAAGATTACCACCAAAGAAAGTACAGTAGCCTGAGGTGGATCTTCTATCAGTTACTGAACCTACATAATCAGCATCTGTATATGCTTCTAGAACTAACCCCGAATTTCTTTTGAATAAGATACCTCTCCCAGGATTGGCCTTCAAATAGTGCAATATACGGTAGACAGCCTGTAGGTGCACTTCTTTAGGATTATGCATAAATTGACTTACCACACTCACAGCATATGCTATATTAGGTCTAGTATGTGAGAGATAAATGAGTCTTCCAACTAATCTTTGGTACATCTCTCTATTTACAGCAGCATCTTCATTAGCTTCTCCAATTTTATGATTAGGATCTATAGGGGTATTTGCAGGTTTACATGCAAGCTTCCCAGTTTCCTTCAGAAGATCTATCACATATTTCTGTTGTGAGATAAAAATACCATGCCGTGAGTGAGCTACTTCAATTCCTAGGAAGTACTTCAATCTCCCTAGCTCCTTTATCTCAAATTCTCTAGCCAAACACTGTTTTAAAGATTCTCTCTCTTTTTCATCATCTCCAGTTACAATTATATCATCAACATACACTAATAGAACTGTTACTCTCCCTGAATCAGAGTGCTTGATAAACAATGTGTGATCTCCTTGACTCTGTTTATATCCCATTGCTAGCATCACTTTGGCAAATCTCCCGAACCAAGCTCTAGGAGACTGTTTAAGGCCATATAAAGCCTTTTTTAGCCTGCATACTTTGTTTGCTTCTAGATGACCTCCAAATCCCGGTGGAACCTTCATATATATTTCTTCTTCCAAATCACCATGTAGAAAAGCATTCTTTACATCAAATTGTTGAAGCTGCCAATTGTAATTTGCAGCCAATGATAACAAAATCCTAACTGTATTCATCTTGGCAACTGGAGCAAAGGTTTCCTGGTAATCCACTCCATAGGTTTGAGTGTAGCCTTTAGCCACTAACCTGGCTTTATACCTTTCAACAGTACCATCTGCATTGTATTTTACAGTGAAAACCCATTTACACCCCACTGAATTTTTTCCTTTAGGCAACTCTACCAGTTCTCATGTCTGATTTTTCTCTAAGGCCTCCATTTCTATTTTCATGGCTTGCCTCCATTTCTCATCGGATAATGCCTCGGATAATGTAGTTGGAACAGAAATATTGTTTAGGCTCACAAGAAAATTTTTGTGGGATGGTGAGAATTTTTCAAAATGACACAAAATTAGATATTGGGTATAGTAGATGCTTGGTACATTCTCTGGTTCTTTTCCTAATGGCAATAGGCAAATCATAATCACTAGTTATAGTTTTAGGAGATTCATGCTCATTTTGAGAAACAGAGTCAAAAACTGTAGTTACCTCATTTCCAGAGTTAGGATCAGGTTCTTGGACTGGCACTGGTTCAGGATCTGAAACTTTCCTTCTTGAGTACACATGTAATTCCTTCATAGAATCAAGAACAATATTATCCTTTGTCACATCTTCCATATTTGGAATGGGTTCAGGCTCAAATTCAGTGTTTGACTTGGGCTCAGCAGAAATAGGTTTCGACTCAGCAGAAATGGTTCTTCAATTATACAAGAATCTTAGGTTTATATACAACTAACTAGGGGTTAAACTAGGAAACTAAATCTTCCTTAATTCTAGGGATACAAATACTTAATTCTAGAGATACAAATATAAATATACAAATTACAAGATTACAACCAGCTGTAAATAAGTGTTTTCCCACACCTATAGTTTGGAGATCCAGCCCAATCTACACCAGTGTGTCCTTCAGCATGAAGATGACCTTGGTTTTTATGAAGTAGGCCACGACGTGGAGCACCCTTGAGATATCTTAAGGTATGAACAAGAGCATCCCATGACTCGTTCTTGGAGACTGTAAAAGTTGACTAACAACATTCACTGCAAAAGAAATATCTGGTCTAGTAATTGTCAAGTAGTTCAACTTTCCAACCAATCTTCGATAATAGCTTGGATAAGCTAACACATCACATTGATTAGCTAATAATTTGGTGTTAGGATCCATGGGAGTATCCATAGGTTTGCATCCTAACAATCCAACTTCAGAAAGTAAGTCAAGCACATGCTTCCTTTGGGATAGTGAAATCCTCTCATAAGATCTGGCAACTCCTACGCCTAAGAAATATCACAAATCCCCTAATCCTTGCAACTTTAATTGTATAACTTTTGTTTTGTGATGGCAATGAAACATTTATGAAAATCTGCAGCTGACAGGCAGAGTTGAAGAAAAACGGAGATGGTCTGAAGGGATTCACCAGGCTGTAGAAGCAAAAGAAGGTTTGAAAATTCAGGTAGATATGATGTCTGAAAAGTGTTTCTTAACTTGGTCTTGACCTATATCAAATATAGATCTCATTCGTCTAATTCGAAGTTGTAAATTTTGTATACTTGTTAGGCTGATTCAGTTGTTGTGGCTCAAATCACCTACCAATCACTATTTAAGCTCTATCCAAAGCTTTCTGGGATGACTGGGACTGCTAAAACCGAAGTATGGATGATAACTGGATTTTTTACATTATATTTGGCAATTTCTAATTATCAATGCTTTACTATTTTTTTATGCAATTTAAATTAGAAATTTCAACCTTCATGTTTGTAGGAGAGGGAGTTCTTGAAAATGTTCCAGATGCCCGTTATTGAAGTGCCCACTAATCTTCCAAATATTCGTAAAGATTTAGCCATACAAGCTTTTGCTGTAGGGCATTTAATACTTGTACTGTTTTTCTTAATAATGTTTCTATTTTTTTTTGTTACTGTTTTTTCTTGATTGTTTTTTGGTTTGCTATTCTCCTAAGACTGCTAGTGGGAAATGGGAATATGTTAGTCAAGAAGTGGAATACATGTTTAGACAGGGCCGTCCAGTTTTAGTTGGGACCACTAGGTAATTCTCCAGCAGCTCTCATTGTAATTTGTCCTTTCCTCTTTTCTTTTGAATCTTGCTATTTTATGGAATGCTAATTGAATTTCGAATTTCATCTGTTAAGAGTGTTCAAAAGCAAGAACACCCTTGGATATGATCTATCATCTTCTTGATGTAGTGTTGAGAACTCTGAACATCTGTCAGATCTGCTGAAGGAGAGAAATATCCCTCACAATGTCCTGAATGCACGACCTAAGGTTTGTTAGGGTTTTAATTCAATGATACCTTGCAGTTGGATGTATAGTTTAGTGTATGGGTTTAGTTCTTGCTCGGCATCAATCATTTCACCTTTATGCAAGCTTCTTTTACCATTATGTTTCTTTCCCTTCTATTCCATCAGTATGCAGGAAGGGAAGCTGAAATTATTGCCCAAGCGGGGCGAAAGTATGCTATAACGATTTCTACCAATATGGCTGGCAGAGGAACTGACATTATTCTTGGGGGAAATCCAAAAGTAAGTGTACTTGTTGGATGATTTTTTTTATGTGGAAAAAAGTACTGGCAGGATCATTTTATTGCAATTGATGATATGCATTTGTATGCATTTCTCTTAACTTTTTAATGTATTACTTCCTTCTTGTGGAGTTGTTTTTCTTTTATCCGAAAATATGTGATGAGAAGTAACTAACTGTACACCACTTGTTATGCCATATCAAGATGCTTGCAAGAGAAATTATAGAGGACAGCTTGCTTTCCTTTCTGACAAGAGAAGCTCCTAATGTTGAAATCGATGGCATGGAAATTTCAAGAAAGGTAACTCTTTCTTGTTATTGTTAGTTGGCAAGAAATAAATTATGATTCTCATCAATCTTTTGGTGTAGGTGTTGTCAAAGATAAAGGTTGGACCATCATCAATGGCTTTGCTAGTTAAGGCTGCCTTAATGGGTTTGTGAATCTTAAAGCATTTAGTCTAGCTTGTTTTCTTCTCTTTTAAATACATTAATTTTAGTGATATTGGCATGGATATTTTATTATTCTGATGCCACTTTTCTTTTCAATGTGAATCAAACAGCCAAATATGTTGGCAAAAGTGAGGGAAAGAGCTGGACATATCAGGAAGCAAAATCTATCATCTCAGAGTCTGTGGAAATGAGCCAGTCAATGCCTCTGAAAGAGCTTCAGAAGCTTATTGATGAACAGTCTGAGATGTACCCTCTTGGCCCTTCTATAGCTATTACTTATTTGTCTGTTCTTAAAGATTGTGAAGTACACTGCACCAAAGAAGGGTCTGAAGTCAAAAGGCTTGGGGGGCTTCATGTGATTGGAACATCTTTGCATGAATCCCGTAGAATAGATAACCAGGTGAGTAAATGATATGTATATTTATTCCACATCTAAACCTTGATTTAGTTAGCATTTCTGAAGTATCTATCTTGCTTTAAGAAAATTGCAACAGTTTTTGGTATCAGAAGCTCGAGAAATACTCTCAAACTTCCATAATGAAGTGCCAAGTATCCAATTTAGCTGTTTATTTCTTATATGTCAACTCCTGCATTTAAAGCTAAGGGTCAATATAGTTATTCTCTTTTGGTCATTTCCATCCCATATGTTGTTGGCTTATTGCATGTATCACTTGATCAAGATGAAATATTTCTAGCTCGATACTTTTCTAGAATGAGTACAATTGCTTTGTGGTAGTCAATCCCTTATTTTTATTTTATTTTATTTTTTGCTGAATTAGTCAGTTCATTGTTCAGTAGGTCAATATTCTACACTCATTTACTGTGGTTTATATACAACTAACTAGAGGGTAAACTAGGAAACTAAATCTTCTTAAAACTGATCCTATAATTGAGGGATTGTCTATCCTAATTTTATGTTCTTAATTCTAGAGATACAAATATAAATATACAAATTACAACCAGCTGTTACTAAGTGTTTTCCCACACTCCCCCTTAAGTTGGTGAATAGGTGTTTTCCATTCCTAGCTTGGAAATAATTTCCTGAAATGTTGCACTACTGAGACTTTTAGTCAACACATTTGCAAGTTGACCCTTGGTTGATACATACAGTGTACTAATTAACCCACTATCTAGTTTCTCCTTTATGAAGTGTCAGTCTACTTCAATGTGTTTGGTTTTGTCATGTTGCACAGGATTGTGTGCAATGCTTATTGTAGACTTGTTATTATAGTAGAGTCTCATTGGTCCATGCAACTTGATCTTCAAGTCTTCTAGGATAATCTTTAACCACAGTAGTTCACAAATTCCTTGAGCCATTGCTCTAAACTTTACTTTAGCACTTAATCTTGCCATCTCATTCTGTTTTTCTCTCCTCTAAGTCACAAGATTACCACCTAGGAAAGTTCAATAGCCTGAGGTGGATCTTCTAGCAATTACTGAACTTGCATAATCCGTATCTGTTTATGCCTTTAGAACTAGCCCCAAATTTTTTGTAAACAAGATACCTCTCCCAGGGTTGGCCTTCAAATAGTGTAATATACGGTAAGTAGCCTATAGGTGCACTTCTTTAGGACCATGCATAAATTGACTTATCACACTCACAATATATGCTATATCAGGTCTAGCATGTGAGAGACAAATGAGTCTTCTAACTAATATCTGGTACATCTATCTACTGTAGCATCTTCATTAGGTTCTCCTAGTTTATGATTAGAATCTATAGGGGTATCTGCAGGTTTACATACGAGCTTCCCAGTTTCCTTCAAAAGATCTATCACATATTTTTGTTTTGAGATGAAAATACCATGCCGTGAGTGAGCTATTTCAATTCCTAAGAAGTACTTCAATCTCCTTAGCTCTTTTATATCAAATTCTCTAGCCAAAGACTGTTTTAGAAGCTCTCTCTTTTTGTTATCATCTCCGGTTACAATTATATCATCAACATACACTAATAGAACTATGAATCTCCCTAAGTTTGAGTGCTTGATAATCAGTGTGTGATTCCCTTGACTCTGCTTATATCCCATTGCTAGCATCACTTTGGCAAATCTCCCGAACCAAGCCTTGGGAGACTGTTTAAGGCCATATAAAGCATTTTTCAGCTTGCATACTTTGTTTGCTTCTAAATGACCTCCAAATCCTATTGGAACCTTTATATATATTTCTTCTTCCAAATCACCATGTAGAAAAGCATTCTTTACATCAAATTGTTGGAGCTGCCAATTGAAATTTGTAGTCAAGGATAACAAAATCCTAATTATATTCATGTTGGCAACTGGAGCAAAAGTTTCTTGATAGTCCATTCCATAAAATTGAGTGTAGCCCTTAGCCACCAACCTGGCCTTATACCTTTCAACAGTACCATCCGCCTTGTACTTTACAGTGAAAACCCATTTACACCCAACTAGATTTTTTCCTTTAGGCAACTCTACCAGTTCCCATGTCTTATTTTTCTCTAAGGCCTTCATTTCTATTTTATGGCTTGCCTCCATTTCTCACTGGATAATGTCTCAAATAATGTAGTTGGAATAGAAATAGTGTTTAGGCTCACAAGAAAATTTTTGTGGGATGGTGAGAATTTTTCAAATGACACAAAATTAGAGATTGGATACAGTGGATGCTTAGTACATTTTCTGATTCCTTTCCTAATGGCAATAGGCAAATCATAATTACTACTTTTAGTTTTAGGCGATTCATGCTCATTTTGAGAAATAAAGTCAGAGACTATAGTTACCTTATTTCCAGAGTTAGGATCAGATTCTTGGACTTGCATAGTTTCAAGAGCTGGAACTTTCTTTCTTGAGTAAACCTGTAATTCTTTCATAGAATCAAGAACAATATTATCCTTTGTAGCAGCTTCTCTGTTTGGAATGGGTTTAGACTCAAATTCGATGTTTGACTTGGACTCAGAAGAAATAGGTTTAGACTCAGAAAAATTGATGGGTGAATATGTTGAAGAGGAAATAGGTTTAGACTTAGAAGAATTAATTAGTGAAAATGTTGATGAGGAGGACAAGTCAAGAAAAAAGAAGTCTTTATCCTTATCTTCCATGAATCAAGTCTCCCCTTGAAAAATAAGGTTTGAGTAAAAAATGGTTTACTTTTTTCAAAAGTGACATCTACAAACACATATAATTTTTTGGTTGGAGGATGATAGCACTTATACCCTTTCTGAGTTGATGAATACCCCATAAAAATACATCTAACCACTTTAGGATCCAACTTCCCCCTATTATGACTGTGAACATAAACAAATGATGTACAACTAAATATCTTAAGTGTGAGGTTGTTTGTGGTACTAAAGTTGGGATAGAATTGTGAAAGTAGTTCCATAGGACTTTTAAATCCCAAAACCCTTGAAGGTAACCTATTTATAATGTGTGTGGCAGTGAGAACAACATCCCCCAATAGGATTTGGATACATTTGCTGGAAAAAGTAAAGCTCAAGTTGTGGCTAGTAAATGGTCGTTTTTCCTCTTTGCCACTCCATTTTGCTGTGGAGTATTAACACAAGATGACTCATGGATAATCCCCTCTTTTTGGAAATAGGTAGATAGACCTAGTTGAAATAATCTCTTGCATTATCATACCTAAATCTTTTGACTTTCACGCAAATTGATTTTGGATCATGTTTTGGAATCTTAAAAACACACTATTCACATCTGATTTGGATTTAAGTAAACAGACACAAGAAACCCTGATACAATCATTTATGAATGAAACAAACTACCTTGCACCAAAAATATTAGGAATTTTAGAAGGACCTTAGATGTCACTATGAATCAAGTAAAAAGAAGAACTTCTTTTGTTACTAATTGGAAAAGACACACGTCTATGCTTTGCAAGTTCACAAATATCACAATGAAAATTTTCAACATTTAATCATTTGAACAAAGAAGGAAACATGTTTTTCAAAGTTCTAAAAGAAGGATGTCTAAGATGAAAATGATAAAGTTAGATTTTGTTTTTATTGGGAGATTTTTCAAAAAGAAATGACAAAGGTAAATTATTCTTGATATTACTTATGGTGTTTGATGTCTCAAGATAACATAGTCCATCATTTTCCTTAGCAAGTCCAATCCTCTTCCCTGAACTTTGTTCCTAAAATTCACAATAAGAGGGATAAAAAGTCACTTTGTAGTTCATGTTTCTAGTAAGTTTTTGTATAGATATCATATTAGTTGACAATTAAGGAACATGAAGGACATTTTTAAAAACAAACAAGGGATTAATTTGAACATCTCCTAATCCTGCCACTATAGTGAGTGAACCATCTGTAATAATAATTTTCTTGTTACTAGGACACAAGGTATATGTACTAAACTTTTGTGAGGAATGTGTCATGTGGTTTGTGGCTCCCGAGTCAATGACCCAAGAACTCATAATAGGCTTAATTGAGACATTTAATCCATGAGAATAAAAGATTTTACTTGAATTAGAGACTTTACCCAAGAAACATACCCCAGTAGGATTTTCAAAGGTTTTCAATAGGCTTCTCAGTTTCTCAATCTCTTTTCTGTCCAACTCTCTTTGTTCCTGATACATTTGTAGTACTCTGATGGTTTTACCAGTTGGCACTTCCTCAAATTGGGTGGTAGCGTTAGCAGATTTTGTTATCTTTCGTTAGACTGAAACAAGTCTTAATGATTAAGATATAATTAGAAATGAGTCTTAGCAATGAAGGCTAAAGAAGGACAAAATAAAATGGCTATGAAGGTTTTAATAGGGTTCGGCAATGAAGGCTTAAAATAGAAGTTAGTAATGAATGTTGAAAATTTTGCTTCTTAAGAAGAGGCTAAAGCTCTGATGCTATGTGGAGAAACTAAAAAATAAAAATGTGTGAAAAACTAAGAGTAAAATTGAATGTATTTTGACAAATTGCTCTCTTAAGAATTATACAAGCAACTTAGGTTTATATACAACTAACTAAAGGGTAAACTAGGAAACTAAATCTTCTTAAAACTGATCCTATAATTGAGGGATTATCTATCCTAATTTTTTGTCCTTAATTCTAGGGATACAAATGCTTAATTCTAGGGATACTAAAATAAATATATAGATTACAAGATTACAACCAGTTGTAACTAAGTGTTTTCCCACAGTTACATGTTCCATGTCACCGTTAGCCAAACGGTTGCGTTCCTCTAGGAAGATAGAAATCTAGATGTAACTATATATGCAAGACAAGGCTGTAAGTTTCAATTGAAGCGATGTTTTTGTTCACATATGTAGCAATGTAAATTACAAGATAGCACTATCCTTGTACATGTATAAACATGCATGTGTATTTTGGAAGTCATAAGTTTTACCATATGAGATTTCATTAGGCACAAATTCATTAAATACTCATTCTCTGTTTGAATTTAGATGACTTAGCTTTTGGATGGATTGTGTTGATATCTAAAATTTGATATGTGATAAACATCGTCTGACTATTACGTAAGCATACTCTTTTTCCCTTCTTCAACAATCATTTCATGTTACTCTTGATAGCCTGCAATTCAAATGGCAGAATACATTCTGATAGATTACTATAGGAAAACCAATAATGTTAAACTTGTTTTTTATTTTTCATATTTTGGGGGTTTGGGGTTGGGGGAAGAGAACTGATAATGTGTCTTTTATTTATTTTCTATATATTGCATTTCAAAAATGGATCTAATTTTAAAATAAAAATGACAATGGTCTTTCACAGCTTCGTGGTAGAGCAGGAAGGCAAGGGGATCCTGGATCCACACGGTTTATGGTGAGGTAATGTGCTATTAATTATTTCTTTATGTCTTTAAGACTAAAATGGCTTTTGTGGCAAAGACTTAAAAAAAGTAAAGCTTAACTAGATTATTGTTTCCCAAGTTCCGCTTAATTCAGCTGGTGTGCACAAGTTACTAGGGATTGCTTAAATGATTTTCCCTGTCCATCATGCCATTATCAGCCCATCCAATATATTTCCATTTAGATATTGGACTAGCTTGTATTAAATTAGGACAAAATACTTTCAATGTAGGAATTGATTTTCTCAACAGGACTAGATTTGTAACTGAGCTTGGGGCCAGTTCAACCTCTGCTATCATGTTATGGGATACCTTAGTTTTCCACATAGCCTTGACCCACTATTTTAGGGCTTCTTTTGGCCAAGTGGTGCTTTGAGGTAAAACTATTTTGCTATCAAGGCTATCGTGCATATATTAACTGATTCTTTAAGATAATAAACATTGGTTAATATAAAAAATTCTCTTTCAAGGAAATTGGTCTGTGCTCTACCAATTGTCTATGTCTCTTACAAAGGTGGGGATGGTCAACTGGGCGGCCTCGACAAAATTATCGCAACCTGAAACTCTGTCTGAGATTTCTATATAAATTAGAAATTTTATTTATTTTAATTTTTGTGGTTGGTGTTCAAGTTAGAAGGGCAGAGGGTGAAAATAAATTATTAGAAATGAGTGCATCTAAAAAACAGGTTGGAGTTGCATGGCACCAATTGAGGGTGAAATATGGGAAATGCACTGAAGGTGATTTGGACAAGTGAGTTCAAGAGCTGCAAATGCTTCTGTAAAAGCCACTGTAACTCTTCTCCAAGACTATTTAAAAAAATGTCATGTTCAAAGAAACAATAGCACACATGGGACAGGAATCTGATGCTTGTGCACCCTTCTAATCTTTTCCATAAAGCGAATTTCTATAGAGGAGAACCCAATCATGACAGCAGTGGAATTTGCATTATCATCTGAATGCTCAATAATTTCATTAACTAAAATGGACTTCTTTATATGTGTCCTTTTTTTCTTGTCTTTTAAAGGTATATTTAACATCATTTAGAATATTGGTTTACTATTTATTGATGTAACAGCTTGCAAGATGAGATGTTTCAAAAGTTTAACTTTGATACTGAGTGGGCTGTGAAGCTTATTTCAAAAATTACAAATGATGAAGATATACCTATTGAAGGTGATGCAATTGTGAAGCAGGTCTGCAGTCACCTCATCTGTTTGAGACTTTAAACCTTGTAAACATCATCCCCTTATTAGTGACTTCAATGGCTTTATATTTGTAGCTTTTGGCACTCCAAATCAATGCAGAGAAGTATTTCTTTAACATTAGAAAGAGCCTGGTTGAGTTCGATGAGGTTTTAGAGGTATGTGCGTGGAAACAACAAAGCCATATTTGGACATTTTGCCAAAGTTATTGGCGTAGTCTTGCACTAAATAGGAGTTTGACTAGAGGTTCATTTTTGTTCAAAGTTTCTAAAAGACCATCTAGCAAGTTGCAGCGTGATTTTAATTTGATAAGGAACATTATCTACAAAATACTTTATAATGATGTTATTGCAACTTTTAGTTCATTATTTTCTATTAACTTATACCTTTCATTTAACAGACTTATTGTTGACTAATTTCTATTAGAATTCTTCAATTTATAAACCAAGAAAGAGTTCTTATGAGGGATAATGACAAGAGTTATAGAATGGATTGCTACCTATGCCTAGATCTTGAGAGTGTATCTTTTAATCTGAAAATGAATCCTCAAATGTTTAATTTACACAGAGGACCAGCAATCATTTATCAGTTCATTAGATTCTTTCACCTTCTATTATCAGGTTCAAAGAAAGCATGTCTATGACCTCAGGCAATTGATTTTGACGGGTGATAATGAAAGTTGTTCCCAACATATATTCCAGTGAGTATCATTCTAATATATTTTAGTATGTTTGTGTGACCTGGCCTAGTAGATTTCCCAAGTTCAATTGCAGTCAACTAACATGCATGCTCCAGTGGCATGAGTCTCTCTTGTTTAATTTTTAGTATAAACTTTTACACCTTAAACATGTTATAGCAAGTCGGAGAGGATTGGAACAATATGAAAGCAATTACATCATGCCATTATGCTTATTGTAATCTAAATTATAATTGAGATACAATTTTTGAAAATCAGGTTATTTAGGATGATGAAAAGGCCTTTATAAATTGCCATGTTAAGTTCTGGCAATTTGTTCTTCAAATTGTAGTTTTCATTTTGCATCATTTTTTGTGTTTGTTTAGTTAATTTTGACTAGGATAACGACATTGATATTCCAGTAACTTCGAAGTTTAAGTTCTTCAGTGTGGATATTTTCTAGATCTAAAATCAGATGAAAGATGAATAAAAAAAGAAAAAGGGAAAAAGAACAGAACAGTGCAGAACAACATTCGTGCTTATTGCATGGTTGGCTCCCTTCTTTCCCTTGTCATTAAGTTTCTTTGGTAAGAGTGCCCTTGCATTTCAGTAATTTTGGCGCATAGGAGCTATAATGCATACCAACAAGGAAATTTATATCATGTTGACCAAATACAACAATTATAGCATGTAGAGAATAAATGTGATAGCCTTTTAGTATCTCTTTCTACCTTTTCTTGACTGATTTTATCAATTGTTTTTTGTTGTATCATGCCAGATTTCTTTTTATACACTTGTCTTTTACATCGTGATGTACAGTAAATGTTGTACATGTATATCTAACTCGTGCATGCAAGTATTAGTATGTTGCCTGGCAGACTTCAGCTTGTCAATGTAGTTTTTTATCAACTGTTTTTAAGATTTAGTTTTGATCCGTCTTTTGAACATTCAAAGAGAAAAGTTGCTTGATAGGTACATGCAAGCAGTGGTTGATGAAATTGTCTTTGCAAATGCTGATCCATTGAAGGTAGTGAGTTTTTCTCTTCAGAGATTTTCTACTTCTGCTCTTCATTTTGGACTAATCACAATTAATTCATTCTGTAGCATCCAAGATACTGGAGTTTGGCTAAGCTTTTGAAAGAGTTCGTTGCTATTGCAGGGAACCTATTGGATGGTGAGCTTATCTCTAATTACCACCTTAGCTGATATCTTTTTGAAATATTTATCACTTATTGGATTAGAATTACCACCTACCACATAATTCCTTTTGTTGATGGCTAAAATCAACTTAATTCCTTATGTCGTGGAATATCTGCAGACTCATTTGCTGCAATTTCAGAGGAAGATTTACTCCAATCTCTTAAACAGCTACATAATTCAAATTCTGTAGCTATTGACACTTTTCACCTTCCAAACTTGCCAAAGCCTCCAGATGGTTTCAGAGGAATCCACAGAAAAAATTCTTCACTTAAACGCTGGCTTGCTATTTGCTCTGATGATTCAACAAAGTTAGTAGATATTGATAATGCGTCTTTAATTCAGTTTAGTTCTATACTATTTTGATATTAAATAATGGCCATTTACATTTTTACTCTAGGAATGGGAGGTACCGGCCAATGATTAATCTTCTCCGTAAATACCTTGGGGATATATTGATTGCATCATATTTGAACATTGTACAAGAATCTGGTTATGATGATGTGTACATTAAAGAAATTGAGGTCAGGTGCTTCCTTTGCATGTTTATAATAACTTGAGTAGTGTTTCGATCCATGGCCTGAGCCAGTGACAGTATGGGACCTTTGCGTGGTGTTCCTTTGACCTAACTTTTTTCACCTTCCAAATTCTAGTGGATATTAGTACAAGCGTTTGACTTATTTTGCTTTAGTTAAAGTGTAGTATATGTTGTTTAGATGGTACATTTCAACAACTTTCTTTATTATCTGTGTTTTTTTTTTCAGCCTATCATCTTACTGCCTCTTACAAGTCATCCAAGAACTTGTTTATTTCCTCCTTTTTTATGCTAATTTTCTTACTATTGGAATTCAGAGAGCAGTTCTTGTCAAGACTCTGGATTGTTTCTGGAGGGATCATCTTGTGAACATGAATAGGCTGAGTTCTGCGGTATTTATCTGAATATGCTGTTTTGTTCTCTTCAGCTTTCAAATGTAGATGCACTCTTATGGCAGTCTTTGACAGGTAAATGTAAGAAGCTTTGGACACAGAAATCCTCTTGAAGAATATAAAATTGATGGGTGTCGATTTTTTATCTCAATGCTCAGTGCAACACGAAGGTTAACTGTAGAATCGCTCCTGCATTATTGGTCATCCCCTATGGAATCACAAGAGCTATTTTTGTCATGAAAGCAGATGTTGACAGAGCTACGGTTTGTTTCTTCTTATGTTTGTCTGTTAATCTCTAGATGGGTATGCTTTAGAACTCTTTTAGTTTTATGGTTAGTGTTGAAACTAGAGTCTCATTTATTTATTTCTTCTGTTTTCTCTTTTTGTTATTTTTGTAAACCATTTTCCCTTCAGAGTTGTGTTAAGATTTTCCTTTTTGTTGGCAGTTGATATTGATTATATTCACCCTCTAGGGATGTATGTAATGCATTTGGATTGGATGAAGTTTCCGTGCCAAGGTCTTCAGTGACCTACAGTTTGATGAAATCTCATCAATCGTTTACTGAAGAGATCACATAGTTCTTGCAAGGGGATTGTATAGTTCTTATTCCATTTTCAGTCTCATTTTTAAGGCAAGTGCTCCTGTCAGCTTTGCAAAGAAACTCTTCTTTCGGTGGCAGGGTGACCAACGGACTCGGGATAATGTCTCGCCACATGGCTTATTAATAACTTGGATTGTGGATGCTTTTTTAGTTCTAAGGAACAAGTTTTCCATTTTATTGAAGATGCAACTGCAACTGTGCGAATGAATTATACACTGATCCTTATATCACTCAGATATATATAACCTACAAAGCTCTGTTTTTGGCCAACAAGTTTCACACTGCTATTGAAGTAGCCTGGATTTTTGCGGTATGCTTAAGGCGATGGTCTACAAAGACTTTGGTTGTACCATAAATTTTATCACCAATGAAGAGTATGCCTGTTGTACAATACCATCAAAATTTCTCAAAGTTTATCCTGGTTGTATTTATGTATTAAGATCATGGAATTTTTGTCATGTGCTGAGTTGAAAGCAAATATGAAAATTTTTGTCAATGTCCGCATGGGTTTTTCTTATCCTGGAGACGTATGTAGGTTTAATTGAATGACTTATGTATATATTCAGTTTGGCATTCGATCTTTTACAGATCCCTTAATGCTAAGCTGCCGTACCATACGACCATGACATCTTCTTCAAGCTATTCTGAAGCAATATTGCTTCTACTTCAAGGTATCAGACTGCATTTCTATCTCCATTCTGCACCTGCATGTCTATATTTCTTACAGGTCCATTAAACCACTTTCTTGCATCCAGAATCCACCAAAGCATCACCAATGCCAAAACTATACCCAGGGCAATCGGTGCATAGTTGAACGTTCTCCATTGGATAGGATAAAGAGTCGGTAGTAGAAAGGCTGAACAGGTATAGCATATCCACAAAAAGGCTACTAAGCAGACTGGCCTGCTTGATCTACCCAAGTAAAACGGTCCTGGTTTGAAATTCTTCTCATCCATCACCAGTCTAGCGAAGATTGGCACAGCGTAGCTACCAACCCATCCTATTGTACTGATAGATATAATAGCAGTGAATACTACATCAAGTTTCAAGATTGGTAGGCCGAGAATGATGCTGATTGCCGCACATAGCCAAACGGCATTTGTTGGAACCTTACGCTTTGGGTGAACTTTTCTCCAAATTTGTGAGAATGGGATCCCCCTATCCCTTGATAAGGCATATACCTAGAAGAAACCAAAATCACTATCTATTGATGCATGATATTATGGAAATGAGTAACTGAAAAAATGAGACTGGTAAAGCCTTCGTTGTTGTGGTCATCAAGGTTTGTAACTACAGAAGAGATGGAGTTTTTGGCAGTAAAGATAATTACAGTCCATTCGCAACTAAATTGATCAAGCATGCGACTCCCAAGAGGGAAGGTTTTGCTTACCACTCTGGCTGCACTGGTAGTCACCGAAAGTCCACAAAAGAAGAAAGATCCCCAAATAATGCAGAGAAAAACTACTGCTCCAGCAGAATTCTGAAACCTGCCATGGAATGCATCATAGATTATTTGTGCCGGAACAAGTGCCCCAGCTGTCTCATTATTCACATCATACAAATAGTTTGGATCCTGCAATAGAATCACACTTTGGAATATCAACTTAATAGTAATACTACCAAGAAATCCCAAAAAAAATAAAAAAGGTAACTCTGAAAACCATACCTTAATGCTGAATGTAAGAGCCAAATTATAAGCCCACCCAAATACCGATATGATTCCAATGCTAGAAAGTATGGCAATAGGACCAGTTCTATCAGCCCCTTTGGTTTCTTCAGTCAAATGAGCTGCTGTGTCATAGCCATATAGACAGTAGTTGCTAAGGAGTACAGAGAGAATCACTGCATAAGGTTTGCTTGCTATTCCAGTTGAATCAGGAGATGTTTCAAAATGAGTGAACACATAAGAAACTGGTTGTGTTGGTCGTGCCACCAGAGGAAGCATTACGATCACAACCAAGCCTCCAATCACCTGCATTTATTGCTACAATTTTATCAATGAAATTAAAATGCTTTTCCATGCTAAGTCTTCTGCATTTTTTTACAATGTAATGGTAATTCTGATGCAGAGAACAAACTACAAACCTGCCACCATATTGAGATTATATCAAGGATTGCGATGACCCGTAAAGCAAAGGTGTTGAGAACTGCCCATATGATTGTGAGGCACATATACATGCACAAGAAAACACTTCGAGAAGCAAAGTATCCTCCACCTTTGTTGGTTCCAGTAGACAGAAGAATGATAATCTGCAATGCCTGTGACCCTGAATAGGCCTTGTGTTCAATAAATGAATTAATGAATCAGAAACAACTCCATCTTCGGAATTGGAAGGTTCTACTTTGATGCATATTTATTTATTTATTTATTGCTCTTGCTCAATATTCAGGGATTTATGGTGAAGAATTCGTCCCCAAAACACATGCGAAGAAGATTGGAAAATTGTACCTGGGCGCCAATTCCAGAAATGAGACCAATAGCCTCCAGCCAAACGCAGCACCATGATGCAAATGGCCCCCATTTAGGTCCAGCCAAATGTGCAGCCCAAAAGTACAATGAACCAGTTGTCTGTTAGATGTTCAAAACCGTGTCATTTTCACTTGCCATGCACGTCTTAAAAATAGCAGTCTAAACTACTCCACATGATTTGAAAATATGTATATTTTGTAAATTTTTATCTTGCACAAAAGTCACTCAACTTTAAAGTTTAAATTTTTAGGTGATGTATTTATTGAGTTGTTGCTGTTAAAATGTTGAATCACTCTATAATTGTGTTATAGATACTAGTTGCTAAAGATATTTGCTATTTTCTCAAGGAAACAAAAGCTAAAGGAAGAAAGCATGAGGAAAGTATATATTTACAGGGAAAGAAGAGCAGATCTCAGCCATTGCAATTCCAATAAACCAAGTGAAGAATGTGGTCACCACCCATCCCCATATCATGCTTGCAGGCCCTGCATACTTCAAGCTTGGGCCATACAAAGGTGTTCCAGTGAAAACTGCCATGCTTGAAAATGTTATTGCAAGTGTCTTGAACAAAGTCTGCCATGAGAAACAAATGAAAAAATAAATGCAAATATATAAAAACACTAGTCCAAACATCCCTGAAAAACCAGCATCATTGTTGGTTGACACCAAATGGAGTTTTGGGTACTCCCTAAACCAAATCAAATGACCAAGAAAAAAAAAAAAAAAAAAAAACTTGGCATAAAGAAGTAATCAATATATCTAATAACCATTTCTCTTCTTAGTTCTTGTTTGTATCCAAGCTCGTTAAGACGCTTTTCTCCAGAATCCATTTCCAAGGTGGTATGGCTCACCGCAGCATTTTCATCTCTCAAATCCATGTTGAACATCTGCCAAAACTAGCTATAAAAAAGTGTTTTAGTTCAGGTGATGATATAAGGAAACAACCCAAGTCTATTTAAATAGCCCTGGGAGGGACTTATTGTTTTGAATAAGTCATCATTTTCAAGTCCATCGGTAATCGTGAAGTCAACAAAGTAGAAAATCAATGGCATCGGTGCAATTGCAGTGTGAAAGCTTCTGTTTGGTGCTGTTTGTTATAGGATCCCTGCAAAAGGAACTTGGTTGCTTATTTGACTCTTCAGTGATTGCGGCTTTGCTCTTTGTATTTATCTGTTTCTAAGTCCAAGTAATGACCAGAATAATCCAACAAAAGCATTTGAAAGTTTTGATCTTCACTTAGTCCAAATACTATAAAATAATTAACCAAAGTTGGAATTTCCTTTGTCAGCTTGCCTTTTTATATACCTACTTCCAATAGATTGAAATGGCAGCTCCGGTCCTTTTGATCTTATTTATTGTTTATGATTGAGAGACGGATTCTAAATCCGCAAACAAATTCATTTGTTTTCAAGCTTCGTATTATGCAGACACGATATAAAAAATAACTAAATAAAAAAAATTAAAATTATAATAAAATTAAATAATATATTTTATGTTTAACATATTCACACGAATTATAATATAATAATTTTAATATTTTAATATATTTAAAAAATAAATAAATATAACACAGATACAAGAAGGACCGCTCTAATCATTAATTATCCTACCCTTATTTTGTATAATCTCATTATCAGACTTCGGTTCCACTGGGCTTAGATTGGGAGCATACTTGTCAGCTCTGACTATTGAGCCTATTAATTGGGGCTTAAGCCTGGTTGTTTTTTAATCCTGCAACCCTTGTCAGTCTAGCAGCCACGAGTAAAAGGCTAACATGGCAATACATAATTTCTTGTTTTTTATTTTATTTTTTACTCAAAGAGCAGATTTTCTTTCCATATCGATCAAGTGAGTCAAGATTAGGTCAGATAACCAAATTTTATTTTAATTTTTTAAACGTAAACATCTACTTCATGAATTAATTGGGTCATTATTGTTCAAGTTTATATCACTATCATCATTCATAAGAGGAAAAACTTTACATACACTCTATTTGATTTGTGATTTTTTTATTTATATCTTTTATGAAAAATTTTTCTCACTTATAATTTTATTATTCACTTTTATTAATAGATGGATGTAACAACATTAAAAATCAAACAAATTTTAATAAAATTATAAAATTATCTTTTTTTTTAATGTTGTTACTCTTTCTAATAACGGAAATGATTCATAAAATTATAAATGAGAAAAAAAATTTATAAAAAAATGTAAGTAAAAAAGTTACATACCACACAAAGTATATGTGAAATTTACCCTTTATAATATTTATTTTTTAAGTAACAAAATTTTACATATAATAATGAACAACGAATCAATGATCTATATATGTATGAGATATGGTATGAAAGTAGCCAATTAAATTGTTTAATTAGAGTGGGTAATTATTATTTGGTTATAAAACAGTAATTCATTTGGAATTGAACTTGAGATGCTATTACTAATTTAAGATGTTAGGAAAGTGATTATATAAACGAAAAAAAATTATACATTTGGATTTCAAATATCAATGCGTATAATTTTTTTTTAATTTTTAAATGATAATTTTTTATTTTAAAAAAAAGTATATATATATATATATATATATATTCTATGAAAGCCGACTAAAATGAGACAATGTGTGAAAGAGATTAGTTGTCTTCGTTAATTAATAAGACATTATGTTAGTTATAAGTTAAATGGCTTGCTTGCTAGATTTCAAACATTATGCATGCACGATAATGATATTTGAATAAACATATTGTAGTTAGATTTCAAATTTTCAATTTCGTCCACATATTTCAAAAAAAAAAAAAAAACCAATATTTTACTAGTTTTGAGAAAAATCGTTGCTTAAAAGAAATGTTTTTATATGTTTTGAATTCTCACATATTACAAGTCTAAGTCTTTTCGAGCTGACAATTTTCAAAATTTTTTTTTTTTAAAAAAAGAAAAGCTTCCTCCTTTTAGTCAAATACAAATGTTAATTGAATTAAGTTTGCAAAATTCCATCTTCATGAAAACATTAACATTAATGATAGCACCAAATTAATTAAATCCTGGCTGACTTTTCGGCATGTAATTTTCGAATTGCGGCATGGCTGTGAAACCCTTAATCGGTTGTTGGGCAGTTAGAAAACCAATCGATTTTCATAATTTTTTCTACTGAATTTATTTATTTTATTATCACATTGGCCGGCACAATTTAGTTACCCTGTTGAACAATTTAATTAATCAATAGTCAATCACATATAATATATATATAAATATATGTACCTTACTTCCGTATATTTTTTCTCATGTTTCTAATATTGTGCCATGTGGATACTGCTATATAAGCATCATTTAAGTTGTTTATCATGTCAGATATTATTTTTATTTTTATCATATAAATATCATTAATTTTTCATGCCAAATATTATCTTATTTGATTATAAATTAATGTACTTTAACTACTCATGAATGTAAATATTAATGAATTTATGATATTTATAAACTCAATTTATTGTGAATAAATATATTTTGTATTTCGTGTCATTTAAAATTAAATCTAGATTTATATTTATTATTAATTAATAATGAATTAAATCCAAATTAAATGAATCTAATATTCACGAACTTAATGTTCATAAATATTTAATATTTATGAATCTAATTAATTATAAATAAATATAATTTAATATCGATACCATCTCAAAGGTTTTTTTTTTCCTCCAAAAATTTATTGAATTTTGTTAACAAGTCTCAAGTCTTAGAGTGCATTTGGATGAAAAATTTTAAAATTTTGAAAAATTTGAAAAGAAGATATTATAAAATGCATTATTTTAAAATGTTAGCATTTGGAATTATTTTGTTTGAATAATTTTTTTAAAAAATTTAGTTCATCGGAATTTGATGTGATAAAAAATTATAAAAGAAGAATAATGATATTAAAAATAATATATGTATAAATCAAATATACAATTTGAATATCATTAGATTTATAAAAATATATAGATATTATTAATAAAATAAAAATATAAAAAATATATATATTAAAATTAAATAAGTTGATATTTTATTTTTTTGAATTTTATATTTTATGATGGGTCATATGTAGTAAAAAGATGGAAGATTTGGACCTTTGAAAACCTTAATTGAAATAAGATATCTCGTCCAAATGCCCCATCCAATATTATCAAAAGTTGTATAGTTTGTTGATAGAATATTGTGATGTATGTCTTATCAAAATATATGTTTTTAAAGTATTTTAAGTATCTTTTACAAAATACAAAGGTTTGAAATCATATGGTTTGCATCTATGTTGAAGAAATGATATTTGAAGTTGAAGGGATTCAAATGAAGAGAATTTGAATGATCAAATTTAAAAGCAATATGTCTGAAGATTTGTCTTTAATACCCAAATATCATGAGATGGACAATTCGTATGATTCATAAAATTCGAATGCCCTTGCTAAAAATTCAATAATATTACTATCCATCAAATATGATACTTCGTTCTAAAAATGGTGATTCTTCACTTAATTAAGATATATTTATTCATGAAAAATGTTTCTAGCACCAATTGAAGCTTATATTATAAATACTTCCATTAACATTCATTTTAACATACATTTACATTCAATCTCTCCAAATAAATTCATTGTTTCTCTCTCTCATTTTGCTGATTCATGGTTCAAATGTGTTCAAAAATTTCTTAATGTATATTGAATTTCTTCAATTTTAGGTATTGTATCTGAGGATAATTTTTTCAAAAATTCATATGCACCTAAATAGGGAAACTATTATCATTAGAAACCTTTTAAAGTGTTTTAACTAAGTTTTTCTCTTCATATTAGATTTCACTAGTCATCCCCAAACCTAAATACAACATGTTGAACTTCCAATAATCAAAACTCAGTCTCTAACTACTTCGAATAAAAAAAATTTAAGAACATTTTTTAAGGAAGTGTTTGGTGTAAAAGATTATAATAGGATATGATAAAATAATATTATGAATAAGATTAAATTAAATAATATTATCTTATTTTATGTTTGATTTGCGCAAGTATTAGGAGAGAATAATTTATTTATTGATCAAAATTATCATTCCTCAAAGTTTATACAATTTGAATTATTAATATAATTTTTAAGAGTATAATTGAATTAAAAATAATTATTTCTACTTTAGAAAGTTTAAGTCATCTTATATCAAAATGATACTAATCATCCTTACAATTTTATCAATCTCTTTAGATACAAACTAAATATAATATAAAATAATTATCATCCATTCTTATCTACCGTCTTACATATTAAATATGACTAAATTTATTATATTAGGCAATATTTGTTTCAATATATTGAAATTTATCTCATTAAATTTATTCTACTACATTTAATATATAAATAATATTTAACTAATTTTAAAAAGTGTCATCATAGCATACGTTAGCAAAGCCCATATAAATTCTTTAATTAAATCGATTAAAAATAATTTTATTTAAATAAGAAGATATAATTTTTAAACAAGCTCAATTAAATTTAAAAAGTGGAAGACATATAAGACCAGAAAACCAAATCAATGTACAGACTCCCTAGACCATTTCTTTATCATGGAAACAAATGTTTTCTGATCAGAGACACCCATTAGTCAGCACCATGTGAAGTGAAAGAAGAGAGACTTTCTTTGATTTTAAGCTATGGAAAAAGGAATCACTATATATATAATATATATTACTCAATTATTAATATTAATAATTTAATTTTAACCCTAACCCTTAGTTCATGCAATTAATATTATTGCTCAATTCAATTCACACTTCTCCCAAAGCGCTTCCAATCCAAAAACAATGTCTTGGGGGAATGAATCTATGGCTGCCTCAAATTAAATATTAATATATAGTGATAATTACTACAATTATGATAATTTCTTATTTCATGCTATTATTGTTA